GGGCGGCTTTGCTCGTTTGCCTGGGAGGGGGGCGGCTTTGCTCGGGTGTCCCAGGTCTGCTGGGGGGGGGGGTCCAGTGGCTTTGCTGAACCCCCCCAGCAGACCAGGGAGACCAGGAGAAGCTTTTCTCGCCCCGGAGGACACGGGTGGCGACCCGCCGCCCGTGAGCTCCAGGGCGAGAAAAGCCCCGTTCGTAAGTGCGGATCCGACATAAGTCGGATCCGCGTAAGTCGGGGACTGCCTGTATATGCTTCTATAGGTAACATAGTCACTGTGCCTCCCAAGGAGCATTGTTGACACTAAAAAGTCCAGTAACTAAGAGTTCATTCCTGAATTTGTGTTGCCAAGTTATGGAAAGATTTTTGTTTATTCCTCTCAGCTGAGAACTACAGGTTGGGAGTAGGGACAATAGAAGAACCAAGATGGCGACATTATCCTGAAACTATTGTACAGATTGTACCTTGTAACAGATGTTCCCTTAGTGAAAAGGGAGTAGTTTGTTTGTGATGTGGGGGGTGGAGAGGACACTGCTTTAGGTATAGATTTCTTTTAATTCCATATGTCTTTTGATGTTTGGTTTGAAGTTTGCACTGAAATAACCACATCTGTACATTTGTGAGCTAATGCTTGTGGTAAGCAGTGATGAAATAGTACTAGATTTGGGTGTAAAAACTATCACTAAGTGGACGGGGAAAAAAAATCCAACCAAAACGTTGGTCTGTCATACCCAAACTGTGTTGCTTTTCCTGCCAAAATGCAAGCGTAGTCTTTCTCCACCCAGAGGGAAGTTGCTTTTCAACTTATTGTAACTGCAGTTCCATGTCTGACAGTGCAGAAAGCAGTGTTTACTGCTAACGATGGAAGGAAAACTTTCAACTTACAACATTTTTGTTCAAGAAAAATAAATGGGTTTTGAGAGGGTAATATGCCTTGAATTGTTCAAATATTTGTTTATTTCCAAGATTGCATTAGAACTTTACTAAGTGAAAAATAAGTGGATTTTTGTGATGAGTTGTTTTTATACATATACATATTATGAAGAACTCCTTTCTAATTAGACCATATATAGCTAAAAATTCAAATTGTACCAGGCCTCTTCCTGTCCTTCCCCTAAGTTAAAAGGAAGGAAGCTGTCCCTTAATACAAAACCAACACATTCTCCATGTGCCAGCATAAGTAGTTTCCCTACTATAGAATTCTAAAAATAGCTTAAAGCTGCATAAGGTAATGTTGGTGTTTTTTTAATTTTCAAAGAATCTTAGAATACTAGGACTGGAAGGGACCTGGAGAGGTCATCGAGTCCAGTCCCCTGCCCTCATGGCAGGACCAAATACTGTCTAGACCATCCCTGATAGACATTTATCTAACCTACTCTTAAATATCTCCAGAGATGGGGATTCCACAACCTCTCTGGGCAATTTATTCCAGTGTTTGACTACCCTGATAGTTAGGAACTTTTTCCTAATGTCCAACCTAAACCTCCCTTGCTGCAGTTTAAGCCCATTGCTGCTTGTTCTAGCCTCAGAGGCCAGGATGAACAAGTTTTCTTCCTCCTTATGACACCCTTTTAGATACCTGAAAACTGCTATCATGTCCCCCCTCAATCTTTTTTCTAAACTAAACAAACCCAATTCTTTCAGCCTTCCTTCATAGGTCATGTTCTCTAGACCTTGAATCGTTCTTGTTGCTCTTCTCTGGACGCACTCCAATTTCTCCACTTCTTTCTTGAAATGCTATGCCCAGAACTGTACACACTACTCCAACTGAGGCCTAACCAGCGCAGAGTAGAGCGGAAGAATGACTTCTCGTGTCTTGCTCACAACACACCTGTTAATGCATCCCAGAATCATGTTTGCTTTTTTTGCAACAGCATCACACTGCTGACTCGTATTCAGCTTGTGGTCCACTATAATCCCTAGATCCCTTTCTGCTGTACTCCTTCGTAGACAGTCTCTTCCCATTCTGCATGTGTGATACTGATTGCTTCTTCCTAAATGGAGCACTTTGCATTTGTCTTTATTAAACTTCATCCTGTTTACCTCAGACCATTTTTCTAATTTGTCCAGATCATTTTGAATTATGACCGTATCCTCCAGAGCAGTCGCAACCCCTCCCAGCTTGGTATCATCTGCAAACTTAATAAGCATACTTTCTATGCCAATATCTAAATCGTTGATGAAGATATTGAACAGAGCCGGTCCCAAAACAGACCCCTGTGGAACGCCACTTATTATACCTTTCCAGCAGGATTGTGAACTGTTAATAACTACTCTGAGTAGGGTTATCCAGCCAGTTATGCACCCACCGTATAGTAGCCCCATCTAAGTTGTATTTGCCTAGTTTATTGATAAGAATATCATGCGAGACTGTATCAAACGCCTTACTAAAGTCTAGGTATACCACATCCACCGCTTCTCCCTTATCCACAAGACTCGTTATCCTATCAAAGAAAGCTGTCAGATTGGTTTGACATGATTTGTTCTTTACAAATTCATGCTGGCTGTTCCTATCCCCTTGCCACCTTCCAAGTGTTTACAGATGATTTCCTTAATTACTTGCTCCAATTTTAGAAAAGAGGAGACTGAGGGGAGGGATATGATAGAGGTCTATAAAATCATGAGTGGTGTGGAGCGGGCCGATAAAGAAAAGTTATTTATTAGTTCCCTAAATAGAAGAACTAGAGGACACCAAATGAAATTAATGGGGAGCAGGTTTAAAACTAATAAAAGAAAGTTCTTCTTCACACAGCGTGTAGTCAACCTGTGGAACTCCTTGCCAGAGGAGGCTGTGAAGGCTAGGACTATAACAGAGTTTAAAGAAAAGCTAGATAATTTCATGGAGGTTTGGTCCATAAAAGGCTATTAGCCAGGGGAGAAAATGGTGTCCTTGGCCTCTGTTTGTCAGAGGCTGGAGAGGAATGGCAAGGAGACAAATTGCTTGATCATTGTCTTCGGTCCATCCTCTCTGGGGCACCTGGTTCTGGCCACTGTCGGTAGACAGGATACTGGGCTAGATGGACCTTTGGTCTGACCCAGTAAGGCCGTTCTTATGTTGTTGGTAAAAGGGTGTTCACTGCTTCCCCTGCCTGCCTGCTCTACCCCCAGATAGGAATGTAAATGATACTAGTGCTTGAAGTATTTCCAGCCCTCACTTTTTGTTTCTCTTTGCCCCCTCCATTTCAACGTGTAAGATTCTTGCTATCACTTAAAAAAAAAAAAAAAGTGTGGGGCGGGGGGAGGATTAGTGTCCGTGGTTGTTGTTGCATCTACATTCTTTTTTTGTGAAAGGCTTGAAGGTCACTGCTTGCAGTTAACAGGCTGTCTTCATTTCAGCAGTAAAAGTCATGAAGGAGATAAATTCATTCCAGCTCCACCTTCTTCACCTCTGAGAAAACAGGAATTAGAAAATTTAAGGTAAGTATTTCTGTTGCTTGGAAACTTGAAACTAACAAAAACAAGCAGAATGTCAGACTGTAGTTGAAAAGTGTTTTGTTTAAAAAAGCAAAAAGTTGCATTTCACTCAAACTACATCACAGCTGGTAAACATGGAATGAATTATCAACAGATTAAAAGGAAACTGAGCTAAATCTCAATCTAAGAGGAAAATTTTACTTTCTTTCCTTTGGGCTACATTTGTAATAAAAAGAGTAAAAACTCAAGAGTAGGTCACATATACAAAAAATATCTTTAACTTTAAGGTTTATACGTAAGTCTAATGTCCTTTAACTACTTTTAAAAAAAATACTCACCTTACAAAGCCAAATATCTGTGATTCCTATTGCCATTAATGGAAAGGATAGAGATTTCATTATGTTGCCTTTTCCTTCTAGAGCACTGATAAACCTAGCTTTAATGCTAGCCTGTAATAGCCCATGTTTTTTGGACGGATTAAAATCAAAGTAATGTTAATGCATATCCCATTTCCACATCAAGACTCTCCTAACAAAGGTGGCACAGTAGTGAACTGAAGTTTTTGAACCATGTGTAGTAGTCACCATGTGAGTTTTAAGAAATTAATAAGGCTGTCAAGCAATTAAAAAAAATAATCACAATCACGCAATTAAAAGATTTAATTGTGCAATTAAAAAAATTAATCGTGATTAATCGCGTACATTGCCCCTTTGAAATGCTGTGATGGCATTTCCAAGGGGCAGTGCTGCAGAAGCCTGGGATCAGCTGGAGACCCCAGTAGACCCCTGCTCAATGCAGCGCTGCCCCTTGGAAAGGCCGGGGCGCCCCGGCCTTTCCAAGTGGCAGCACCGTGGGAGCCTGGGGCCAGCTGGAGTCCCCAGCTACCCTGGGCTTCATGCAGTGCTGTCCCTTTGAAGCGCTGCATCAAAGGGGCAGCACAATGCAGAGCTGGGGATCAGCTGGGCACTCCAGCTGATCCCCAGCTCCAGGTTGCACTGCCCTTTTGAAGTGCCGAAGTGGCACTTCAAAGGGGTAGTGCAGCATTAATACCTGAGATTAATGTGTTAAAAAAATTAACGCATTAATCCTTCCCTGCATTAATCGCAGGTGTTAACGCACATCAATTGACAGCCCTAGAAATTAACATATTCCACTGAAAGATATTAAGAAAACTAAAGCTATTAAAGTAATCTTTTTGCATACTTGTATATCATTTTTCTTAGTTCAGGACTGTAATCAAAATAAGCTTTCTAAAGACTTGTGTAGACTACACTTTAAAGAAGTGATTTGAGCATGTTGGTTAAAATGAACTAACTAATACGTTTTAAGTCTGGTCTGCACAAGGGATTGCCAAAGTGATTGTTTTTTAAAGCTTAAACTCCAATATGTCTTCATATCTCAGGGCTAAAAGTAACTGACTAGTTTTCCATTAGAAATTCTTCAGATGTATGGTGCTTTAACATCAAGGTGATAGCTGCTTATACTCTGAATGTTAAGTAAAGGGTAGGTAATGACAGTTGCTGGTGGTTTTCATTTTACATGGGTGAGTATAAAATGTGGCACACTGGCAGACAAAAACGAAGCATGATTATTTATCCCACATCACGGATTCTATAATTTTTTTTTAAATATCATGATGTCACATTTTAATATGTAAAAGAGGGAGTAAGCAAGAAAGTATGCATCTTAAAGCTTTATTAGTCTATTTAGCCTTTGACTGTAAATAACATGAAACACATTTTGGAAAAAACTGATCTTTGACTTGCTTTTAAATAGTGCCATTTTTTCCCCTCAGATTCTTCAACCTGCTCACTTTAGTTCTGCAAAAATGACTAAAACTTTTAGGTCGTTACTGTTCTTATCTTTTGATCTATTTCTATATGTCAGGAAGCACTCAGATTTGGGAATGTGGGCAATGTCAGGATGTACATTTGAGGGGAAAAACAAACAGGTGACATTATGCTAAATGAAAAAAAACCCTCAAGTGCACATCTGCTCTGTGTAGCAAAACCAAGCCATTGCTAGAAATCCCAGGTCAACTAATTCCATGGTTTAGTGTATTAAAATATCAGGTTGGAAGGTTCCAGCAATAAGCCTCCTCTGCCACACTGGGATTATTACATCTCCATTTCTTGGTCATCCCTGCCCATTATCTCAGAACTGAATTGGAGAAATACCAGCCAGTGAAATTGGGCTTCATTAAAATTAAAATGCATGTGGCCTTAAAATCAGTGCTTTGCTGAACTGAATAGCTCAAGGGCATTTAGTCCTATAGTAATTTTGCTTTCTGTCTGTTTACTACTGCTTGTTCCCTAAGTGTTACCATTTGATAAAGTGAAATTTGAAAATCATCAAAAGATAGTGTTGGTGTTGTGTATGACATTTCTTTTTCTTAGAGAACCTGAAAAGAGCACAGAAACATCAGATTTTAGACTTAATAGTTTTGCTTTTCTTTCTTGTGCTCCCTTTTAATAAAACAGCCCTGATCTCTGGTCCATGCACAAGCAAACAGTGGTTTCTACTTTTATCAGTCTAGTAGAGACGTGCAAAGAAACGGTTTGACGTTTCAGCCTTCCACAGTATAGATGTTAAAATGTGTTTAATTTTGTAACCGCTGACATTTACAGAGGCTACATGTTTACACACAGGGGAGCAGGTCGGCGCTGGTGCTTGTGAAGAGCATTTGGCCCCACCCCTGATATAGTGTTACTAGCAATCTCACCCGGCATTGCCCGGGTCCTTCAGGACAGGGTCTTGGGGGTGCAGAATGCTTGGGGCCAGGGGCATTTTTCTTCCCTATCAGGCGATTCCCTCAGTTCATCCAGGCTTGTTCTTTCCCCCCTTCTCCAGCACTGTGGCCAAAGGCCAGGAGGAGGGAAGAGGGTTTGAGGCAGGGGGGCTACTTACTGGTGTGCTGGCAGGCAAGATGGCAGTGCCTCAGCCCTGGCCACTCCCTTGGTGGTATCGCTGCCCTCAGTGGACACTCTGCAAGATAGCTCTCCCCTGTGGACTTGCTGTCCCCAGTGGGCACTTTCATATTGAGTCCCCAGGACAATAGCCCCTCGCTTTGCATGTTATGGAAAACTGTCCTTTTCCAAGGGCTTCCAGTTGTCTTGACACAACCAAACCCTGACCTTGCTTTAAGTTAGTAGAAGGAGAAGCAGCATACCAAATCTGGTGGCCCTAGCTCTTACTGTTTAGGAGGAGTTCTTTTGTGGAGTTTTAAAATATGTACAGAATTTTTAATTTTTGGCACAGAATTCCCCTAGAATTAAGTACTGTTTCTTATATAACTGCCTTTGGGGACAATGATGGCAAAAGTGATTTCCTTCTGTGATGAGGTAACTAACTGGCTCTGTGGATATGGGAAGTCAGTGGATGTGGTAGATACGATGGAGGGTAAGGATAGGGTCCAGAGTCACCTAGAAAAATCGGAGAATTGGGCCAAAAGAAATCTCATTAGGTTCAACAAGGACAAGTATAGTCCTGCACTTAGGACGGAAGAATCCCAAGCACTGTTACAGGCTGGGGACTGACTTGCTGGGGACTGACTGGGGACTACAGTGGATGAGAAGCTGGATATGAGTCAACAGTCTGCCCTTGTAGCCAAGAAGGCTAGTGACATATTGGGGTGCATTAGTAGGAGCATTGCCAGCAGATCTAGGGATGTGATTATTCCCCTTTATTCAGCACTGGTGAGGCCACATCTGGAGTATGGCATCCATTACTCCCCTCACTCCCATTACAGAAAGGATGTGGCCACATTGTAGAGGGTCCAGCGGAGGGCAACCAAAATGATTAGGTGACTGGAGCACATGACCTGCGAGGAGAGGCTAATGGATTTGGGCTTATTTAGTTTGCAGAAGAGAAGAGTGGGGGGGGGGGGTTTGATAGCAGCCTTTAACTACCTGAACGGAGGTTCCGAAGAGGATGGAGAGAGGCTGTTCTCAGTAGTGACAGATGACAGAATGAGGAGTAATGGTCTCAAGTTGCAGTGGGGGAGGTCTAGGTTGGATATTAGGAAAAGCTATTTTACTAGGAGGATGTGAAGCACTGGAATGAGTTACCTAGGGAGGTGGCAGAATCTCCAACCCTAGATGTTTTTAAGTTCTGGCTTGACAAAGCTCTGGCTGGGATGCTTTAGTTAGGGTTGGTCCTGCTTTGTGCAAGGGGCTGGACTCAATGACTTCCTGAGGTCTCTTCCAGCCCTAGGATTCTATGAAGAGGAATAGGCTTTATTTTTAGTCTATTCTAAAACAATGTCCAATATATCATGTAGAGTCAAATTCAACACCTTATTGGAGTTTTGTTTTCCTAACTAGAAAATTAACAGAAACCAATCTCCGCTCTAAGCATTTCTCTTCACAGAGTTCTTCTTCAAGGAGTGTCCCTGTGCGTGCTCCGCTTTAGGTGACTTTCTATCTATGTGCTTATAATCAGAGATTTTTAGTAGCAGTGTCTGGTTGGGTTGCACAGGCACTGTCTCTGTCTCACACCACGTCTGGCAGTTACATAGCACTGTGACACCAACCCTTCAGTTCCTTCTTTATGTCCTCGGCTTAAGAGTGCCTTTTGTACTTTTTCTTTCTCTAATTTTAACTTTAGAATACTAGTTAATCAATAGTTTAATTACTCTTCCTTGTTTTGGTTCATGGTTTTAATTTTGTTTCTTATCTTAGGAATTCAAGTTTCAGTTATTAGGATATCCATCATGTAGTATAGTTACTCTTATTCACAGGAGAAACTGTGGCTCATTGGCTCCTAGGTTAACTTTTAGGTGGCTCATTGGTTAAACTTCACCATTACATGCAGCCTCCCCTCCCCTGCATCAGAGGCAGCAGCGAGGTGTGAGGAGTGGCAGGTGGGAGCCGGTACATGATGGGAGCCACAGGGAGCTGGTGTTTGTGGGCGTGGACAGCGGGAGGGGAGAAGAGGGGAAAGCCTGGCTTAAAAGCTTTCTAATTTAATTTGAATCAGCCTATTCATGAGCCATTGGTTTTCCC